GAGCAGCGGAGGGGGCGCGCCTCCTCTGTCCGCCCAGCACCAGGGAGAAAGCCTGCAGTGCCAGCTGCCTGTGGCAGGCGGGTGGGCGGAGAGGGAGCCTCCGCAGCTCTGCCAGGGTGGGGGTGGGCCGGCTGCTTCAGAAGCCACTGGTAAGACTCAGTGGAGCTGCACACGTGCTCCCCAAACCACAGCTGCGCTGGGACACTCTGTGCTACAGGAACGGCCACGGCGGCCCACGTGTCCCTCGGCACGGGCATGGGGACTGACAGGGAAGTTTCCTGTGCGGGAGTACTATGCAGCCGTCTAAGAGAACGACCTAGTCAGGTGGGCATCTGTGTCAAGTACCAGCCGACTGTGTAGAGGTACCTCTGTGTAGGGAAGTGTATCCTGATGTGCAAGGATATCAGAAACGTGCCACAGAGGAAGGCGGCGAGGAGGTAAACAAGGGTCTGGCACGCTGCGTGAGCTAACCAGCGTGGCCACTTCAGGGGTGCACGCCTGGGCGTAGGCACACACAGCAGAAGGATGCGCAAAGAACTCGGCTGCCGGCGCTGCAGGGGGTGGGCCTGGGGGTCTTCGGCTCCGCGTCAAGACAAACTAGGAGGGACGGGCTCGCAGCGGTGGCCCCATGGTGGGAACACGGGGCTCCTGGCGCCTTTCTGAAGGGTTTTCATTTCTCTAAAAAGCAAGCAGGTGAGAACAGAGCCCCCAGGTCCCCCTGCTGCTCCCCTCTCGAGGCCCTGCAGCCCACGCTGCTCGTCCTCAAGCAGCGCCCGAGTTTGGCTTTCTGTGCAAGATGCTCTTAATGCACCGGGGGCGTCTTATCTGTCCCGGCCCAGCGCAGAGAAGAGGGGGAGAGAGGAGCAGCCAGACTGAGACCTCATTGGACCAAACTGGCCTGATGGAGCCAAACCCCGGCCAGCCTTTAAAAGCTCATTTCATTTTTCCCTCTGGTCTGAACCTCTTTGAATTGAAGCAGCTGATCCTGGTGTAAGCTTATTAGTGTCAACCTTGTGTGTTTCTCTCTTCGATTTACATTTCATGAAGTAATGAAGTTGCAAGGCCCTGACCCTTGCCCTTGACACGGCCGGGAGCTTCTGGGCTCATTAACGGAACGAAAACGGAAACGGGGGTCCAGTCTCATTACAGCCAGTACTGTTGTTACAGAAATCTCTGCACGTTGCAGGCTGCCCAGCCCCCTTCTGTCCGGCACCTGTTGATTCTGCAGATGCCAGGGGCCCAGGCTTGCTGCTTCTCTGCAGCTTGCTGCGACGTGTTGGGCCCGGCCACTTCTCAGCCTGCAGAAGGAGCCGCCCGAGAGCCGCCTCCTGGGGAGAAACTCCCCGTGGGCTTGCGTGGTGGGTCATTCTGCGTGATGCAGTGGGAGAACGCAGTCTTTCATGACAGGCAGGTCGTGCTGCGGGCGCCTCTTAACCTCTGGGGCCTCCGTTCCCTTGTCTGTAAGACGAGCTCACTGTTCGCCGTCTGGGTCTCCAGCAGGCGCTGTGTCTCTTGTCTCCCTTCTGTGTGGCCGACAGTGAGCATGAGGTCTCCGCCACGTGCTTGGGGGCTCACTCTCCCACACAAGGGGCAGTGGGAGCAGAGATGAACACTTGTGCGTCCCACCTTGCGGGTGTTCACCCTGAGCCCTGCATCCTGCAGAGATACCCCAGGTGCTAGAAACGCTGCAGACACTGAGACGACCAGAAGGGGCGTCTGAGCGCGTCAGGCCCGGGGGCAGCCACTGCTCAAGTCACAGACCTTCAATGAGCCTGTCCCGTGCTGGGAGCGCTGCCGCCAGGACAGACACCAAGGGTGAGAAGTCGGGTCTGAGACCGTCCACGGGCCTGGCCAGTAGGAGGCTGTTGCTGCCCTTGGCGAGGGCAGGAGAGAGGGGCAGGAGAGGGGAGAGCCACACTCAGCTCTGAGGGCAGCCTGACCCCCCGTTCCCCCAGAGCCACCGTCATGGGTTCGTGCCGGCCAGCCATCCACACCACCGGCTCTGCCCAGCTCCAGCGGCTGCGGTGCGGGTTCTGCTCAGCTGCTCGGGGACCCAACCGCGGTGACAGGCCTGCCTCGCAGTCCCAGTGTTTCTTGTCCCCAACCTCAGCCTGTTTGTTTTGTGACCTTGGAGACGTCAAAAACCTCTGTTTCTTCATCCATAAAATTGAATGTAAAAATATTGACCTGCCTCGGAGGGTTTTTATGAAGAATAACTGACCCAGATGATGGTAAAGCTTCTTTGTTAATCAGAAAGGGCCAAACTGCTTAGCAAGCACGAACTTGAGTTTGAAAAATTGTTTGCTTGCTTGATGTATTCCTCTTCCCCTCCCCCAGGGGGACCGTTCCTCCCTGCCCCAGAGCGCCTGGTGCCGGGGAGCCGGGAGGAGACTCTGCAGGCAGCCGGCCCTCAGGGGAGCTGAGCTCGGGGGGGGCTGGCCTGGTGGTCCCCAGCAGAAGGCCTCCCTGTCCCACTCAATGGCGGCCCTCTCCCCCCAACTCAGCTTCTCTGTTGTCACCGTGACTGCACCGCCAGGGAGCCCTGGGGCTCTTGGCGAGCCTCAGCCCTGCTTCTCCCCTGCTGGGAAGGCTTCTTACCCAAGGGTGTCTGGAACCTCTAGCCACCCAGCCAGTGCTGCCCCCAGCGTGGATCTGGAGCTCCACGGGCCTTTGAGGAAGTGTAGACCCCAGGCCAGGCCGGGAACTCCCTGGGGCGGGGACGGTGACCCCTCATGAATGTCCGTGTGTGCTGAGGGCTCCTGTGTGCTGGGTGCTGTGCTGGGCACCGGAGGTGCAAATGGGAAAAATGAAATGAAAACAAAGCCTTCGCCTCGTGGAGGTTACGTCTCCTGCTGGAGAGACAGTCAGTGCGCAAATACATACATACACGCCGGGGGAGGTGCGCCGTACAGAAAGAGGACAAGGGAAAGAAGACAGAAGATGAGGACGGCGGCCCTGTCCGTACTGCGGGGTCGCTGATGAAGAGACGTTTGAGCAGAGACATAAAGGAAACGAGGGGATGAGAGAGGCCGTCTGGGAAGAGCGCCCCATCAGGGGCCCTGGGGTCGGGGCCTAGCCTGTTCTGGGAGCGAGAAGGGACATTCGTGTGACTGGTGTGACGGGAGCGGGTGTGGTGGAGGGCAGTCCTAGCCAACCAAGCCAGAGTGATACCAGGGCCGCTTGTAGGGCCCTGGTCATTTTACAGGGCGAGTGGGAAGCCGCACTGTCCTGTCTCACGCAGAAGCTCCCTGTGCAGAGCCCACTGCGGGAGAAGGGGCGACCACCAAAGCCTGGTGGGCCTGGGCGTGGTGGAGGGAGGGGCTCGGGGGCTGGGCCTCTGTCGGAGGCAAAGCCCACCAGGTCTCTGAGGAAGGCTGCAGGCCGGAGGGTGAGGGCCGGGACGGACCCCCAGTCTTCACCCAGGCATCTGGAAACTCGGAGGTGGCGTTTCTGAGAAGGGCGGGGCTGGAGGGGGTGGGTCTCAGGAGCCGACAGCCGGGTGGAGAGTCCGCGAGGCAGTTAGTGTGGCAGTCTCGCAGGCCCAGCCTCGCCAGCCCCCGCACTCTGACCTCGGACCCCACCCCCCTGTGCTTTCTCCCGATGTCTCCTCTCGCCGTGAGGGGCTTTCCTTTCCCAAAACTCCCTTCCGATGGGCTGCACCGGCACTGAGCGTGCAGCAGCGGGCAGAACGTGCCCCTGTCTTCAGGATTTAGAAGGGGAGACACACAGATCTGATAGACAGAAGTTAAGAAATCTGACAATGCCAGATGCTGGGGAAGACAGGTGTCCGCTGGGTGGAAGCGCACTTTGGCACTTTGTTTACCTGGCGGTGGTGGAGGGAGCGCTCACTCGCCCTGCGGCCCAGCAGCTCCTGCAGCACCGTCTTCACGCCTGCACCAGGCAGGGTCCTGCGGGAGAGGGGGCTCATCACACCAGATCCAGCAGGAAACGGGGACGACCCGTGCTCGTGGATGGGAGACTGGGTGGGGGTCCGTCAGATGCGTGTTTAGAAAGCCGGTCTCGATGCGGGGCCGCGCGGGACGGGCTCACTGAGAGATGAGGTTCGGGTCCTACCTCACTGGGCAGACGCTGAGTGTGAGATGACATTCTCCACTTCCTGGGGGGTGCATTCCTGAAAATCCTAGTTTCCCGTTGCCCTTACGGACCATTTCAGAGATGTTTTGTTTCTCTGCGATTGGTCTTGGCTGTGGCTTCGACACCGCGCTTCTCACTTTCTCGGCCCCCTGGCCTCTTGGTTAGGTAGTTAATGGTCTTTAAACAAACACCTGAGTGTTAGGCTCTCCAGGAAAGGACTGGGCCCCTGCGGCTCCACACACCCCGTAGGCGGGGACGCCTGCCACCTGAAGGTCAGAAATCTCTTCAACAACTTATGATGGCAGATTTTCTGAGATCGATTGCGTGTTTCTCTGCTGCGTTAACCAGAGGCCCTCGAACGTGATTTCGTCTCATCTCTGCGACGTGGATCTCAGAGGGACTTCGTTCATTTTGTGACCATTTGTTGGAGCCTTTCCTGTGCCCGTTCCTGCTTCGCCAGCGGCGGGTAGAGAGGCCTGCCAGTGTAGCGGTCCGTGTGATGGTTTAGAAACAGAGGAAAGAGCAGGTTGCTCCTTGCCTGCTACCCTCCTGGTGACTTTGGGCCCATGCCCCTCTCCAGCAGCCCCCGTTTGCTTATTCCCCAGACTCCCCAGGCCTCTTCCAGCCCCAGGCCTCTGCACCTCCCGGTTCCTCTGTTTAGAACTGCCCTTCTCTGGGCCTTCCCACAGCAGGTTCTTTTGACCAGGTCTCAGCACAAGTCTTCCCTGACTTCGGGTCGCACAGCCAGACCCCCACCAGGCCCTCTCCAGCACATCACCCTGTGTTGTTCCCCAGAGCACGTCCTGTCTACAGCATACAAACTGTGTAGTTGTGTTAGTTATCTGTATTTGCACACGTAAATGTTACACATCGGTTTTGTTTGTGTTAATATAAATTTTGTTGATATGCTTGCGCGGTTGTTTCTGGATGTTGAGCTCTTTGAAGGCACAGCTGGCTGTGCTCCCACCCCTAGGACAGTGCCTGGCACACGGCAGGCCCGAGTGAGTGACCTCGGGGAGCACTGCCCCGGGAGCCGGTGTGCAGGCAGCCGGCGGGCCCGGAGCACAGCTGGGGTGCAGCCCTGGAGGGGCTGGGGCAGCACCAAGGAGCGAGGGCAAGCCTGCCGCCGGGGGTCCGGGCGGCCTTTCCAGAGCAGCAGTGCTTGTCCTGGGCTTTTGAGGCAGCCGGGCATAGCTTGGCAGGAGCTGGAGGGGAGAAAGTTCCAGGGCGGAGCCTGGGGTCGGGCAGGACAGAAGGGGACCAGAGAGGTGTGGGATCTGGCTGCTGTGACCGCTGCCGTGCCCTGCCTGGGCGCCCTGTGGGCCTGGTGTCGTGTTTTCAGGGTGGGGCCTGTTCTGCGTGAAGAGTCTGACAGGCCCCGGAGCTGGTGCTGGCGGTACTGGGATGGGGGCTTCTCCGGCTGGAGCCCCCGCCCCACAAGGCTTGCTGCCTTCAGCGCCCTCTCTCTCCCTCGCTCCTACCAGGTGGTGAGGAAGGTGAAGTCCATGCAGATGTTCCGCACGCCCGTCACCTCCGCTATGCAGGGAGACCGGCTGGGCGTCTGTGTCACCCAGTTCGACCCCAAGCTGCTGGAGCGCGGCCTGGTGTGTGCGCCCGAGTCCCTGCACACTGTCCACGCGGCCCTCGTCTCCGTGGAGAAGATCCCATATTTCCGGGGGCCCCTGCAGACCAAGGCCAAGTTCCACATCACCGTGGGCCACGAGACGGTCATGGGCCGGGTGATGTTCTTCAGCCCTGCCCCCGACGACTTTGACCGCGAGCCGGTGCTGGACTCCTTCGACTTCTCCCGAGAATACCTCTTCCAGGAGCAGTACCTGTGCCCGGGCTCGGCGCCAGCCGCCACAGACTGCGGGGAGGCCGACCGGAAGGCGGGCCAGGCCCCTGAAGGCTGCTGCCCCCGGCAGCAGTGGGCCCTTGTGGAGTTTGAGAAGCCCGTCACCTGCCCTCGGCTGTGCCTGGTGATCGGCTCCAGGCTGGACGCAGACATCCACGCCAACGCGTGCCGGCTGGCCTTCCACGGCATCCTGTTGCACGGGCTGGAGGACCGAGGCTACGCCGAGAGCGTCCTGCCCACACTCAGGGTGTACAAGCTGAAGCACAAGCAGGGCATCGTGGAGCGGGTAAGTGGAGGGTCCAGCCCGGGGAGGGGGGGTCCGCGGTGACAGACAGGAAGGCCTCGGAGCCCTGGTCCAGCGCCTGTGGCTTTGGACAAGGAGACAGGCCAGGAGCGGGCGAGTGGCCTGAGTGCTCTCTGCCCGTTGGTCAGAGCCGGGCTGACACCCAGGCGGGGCCCGTGCACCCCCCACCCCTGGCCTGGCTGCCCTGCCGTCCTCACATGAGCCGGGTTCAGAAGGAGCACTTGACCTGGGCACAAGCCAGTCAGGGGCCTCCCTGGGCCCTGCCTGTCACCCCAGGGCCAGGCCAGACTCCCGTGCCCTCGTGGGGTTGAGCTCCAGAGGTGAGGTGGCCGCCTTTCTGCCCCAAGCCAGCCTGTTAGGGAGGGGGCCCAGCCGGTCAGTGCAGGCCAGACCAGGCCAAGCCCATCCTCGGCCTGTGGGCACAGGAGTGGGGCTGATGGTGGCAGGGGTGCCAGAGAGCACAGGGCAGGGGGAGAATGACTGAGGCGGGAGGGGAGGCTGCTGGCTTCTGGGGCACCTGAGGCTTGTCACCACTGGACATGGGCCCTGAGCTTGTGGGTGAGCTGATCTGGTTTACAGTCCTGTCACAAGGGTGGACAGGTGTCATAGCCAGGGAGCCTGCACAGGGTCCCCGGATCCTGGGGCCACCTTCCCCCGCTGGGCAGACCTCACTGTCCCTGCAGCTCTGTGTGGGGACCCAGGCCCCCTGTGCCCCAGATGAGTGGGTAGACCAGCACACAGACCTCACCGTCCCTGTGGCTGGCTCCCCGCCGTAGGCTTCTGCGGCTCAGGGATGACGGTGGGTAGTCCTGGGACCCAGCTGGGCTCAGCTGACCCAGAGCAGCAGTGCTGAGACCCCAGTGTCAGGCAGCTCGGGCTCCTAGAGGCGTCCTGGCCTGAGTCTCAGCGGGCCCCATGGTTCTGTTCCTCACATAGCAGAGGAGGGTCACCTGTCCCGGTCAGCCCTGAGTCAGCACGGGGCTCCGATGTGGGCTCCCAGGAGAAGGTGTCCAGGGCCTCGACGTCAGACGTGCCAAGGTTTCCATCACTGACCCCTCCGGCCTCGCTGCCTCCCCTGGACCACAGCGTTCTCCTCTGGACATGCTCGTTGCAGACACCCCATCTCAGGATCCTCCCTGGGCGCTCAGGCCCTGCCCCCTCCCTCCCCTGCCCTGACACCAAGACCCACCCTCAGTGGGGAGGTGAGAAGCCCTTTCCTTACCCACTCGCAGGTCCAGGCTCAGGACCCTCAGCCCCGTGGGCGCCTGCGTTGCTGCTGTGCATGGACTCTGGACTGGTCTGTGTCACCCCACTGCCATTCACTGGGCGGGGACTGTCCCTCTGCAAGCGTTGGCTTCCTTCTGCAGGGCAGCGGCATGCACCTTGGCCCCTGGGTCTCTGGGAGGCGTCGAGGGGTTGGTGGGCCTGTTCAGGGCTCCATCTGTCTTGGGCCAGCCCTCAGGTGCTGACTGAAGATGACGGTGACAGAGGCAGGGCCCTCGTGGGCCTGCCGGGGTTATGAGCAGTGTGTGTGCAGTGTAGCTGTTCTCTGCTGAAATGTCTGTCCCGGGGAGCGTCCGGCTGCGTGTGCTCGGAGCTCTGCTCACCCCACATGGGCCCGTCAAGAATGGGGCTGTGGGTTTGTGAGCAGTATACGTACTGCCTCCTAAGGCGGTGGGGAGGGGCCAGGAGACAAAGTGACCCAGGCCCTGCCACCAGCCCAGGGCATCGGGCCACCAGCCTTTTCTTGCTTTTCCACAGAGGGAGGTGACTGTGAAATGCTGGGGGGGGGCAGCTCTCAGCCCCTGCCCCCACCGCCCTCGCCCTCCCGCTGCTCTGCCTCGTCGCTCACTCTGAAGGGCCAGGCTTCATGGATACGGCTTCACTTGCTGGTGTCACCTTGAAGACTCTGGCCCGTGGGTCACATCCAAACAACTGGTCTTGCCTCAGATCTATCATCTGAAACCAGTTCATCTTCTCTGGTCGCTCTTTTTCAGCGTCTGCAAACATTATTAAATTGTTACCGTCAGTGAATGGCTTTCCTAGTGTGGCTAACAAGTTGCCGCTTGGAAACTTACTTTCTCGCTTTTTAGCGTGTGGGGAGATGTTGTGCTATCGTGTTGAGGCTCACTGTTTCAAGGTTCCTCACTCTTCTGACCGCTGTTTTGCTGCGAGCTGTGAGCACTGAGATGCCCGGTACGCGCTATTGTATTAGTGCAGCCAACGACAAATGTGCCTGCCGTGTATCCGATGAAATAACATTCCAAACCCCACTGAGCCATAAGAGCGTGCCATTCGAAGTCCACCGTCCTGCTCTGACCTGCAGGGTGGGCACTGGCGGCGAGTAAACTCCAAGGCAAGGGGCGGCGGGGGAGCAGCGTGCCGCCCCGCCGATGCTGTGCCGCGGGCGCCCTGCGCCTGCTGCTCGGCCTGGGCCCCGGGGACTTCTGTTTTGGGCTCTGAAACATCACGAAATAGTCTTCTTCCTTTGGTGTTTTTCAGCCCATTGAAGAATGTAAAAAACATTCTTTGCTCAAAGACCAAACAAAAATGGATCACGGGCAGAACCGGGGCCTCTAGCTGCCCCCGATCTAAATGGTAGTAAGACTTGGAGCAGAACGAGGGCCTGCAAGGGAAGCGCTGCGCGCGCTCTGATTCCTTGGGAGACGCTCCAGAGGGCTCGCGGGGCTGGGGAGAAGGGAAGTGAACGCTCTCCAGAGGACTAGCCTGGCTGGGGAAGGAGCTGGGACCTGTGCAGGCCAGGCAGGCCCTGGAGTCCCATTTTCCAGGGAAAGTACAGACATACGTGTAAGATCAGGAACACAGAGAAAGGGGAAGACGTTATAGCTGGGGTGGAAAGGGTGGTAGAAATTCCACGTAAACAAGGGGAAAAACTGAATGAATTTGGTTAAACCAACAAAAACGAGGAAAACGAGAACATTGTTCATAAGTAATAACAAAACCAGAAGGAGCGGAGTCAAGTTTCAGTCATTATACAAATGTGAACGGCGGAATCTCCTATTTAGTTACAGACTGACAGTTGGATTAAAACACGACATCGGCTCAGTGCGGTTTGTAGGAAACACACGTGGAGTGGCGAGCAAAGGTCAAGAGTGAAGTGAGGACAGAGAGACGTCGGCTGACCATGAGCAAAAGGAAGGCATGACTGGTTGAATTAATTTCAGAAAAGGAGGAATTTAAGATTAAAAGTACTAACCCAGAAAAAGAGGGATGTCATGCCACGACAAAAGGCACAGTCCCAACCTGTACGGACCAAACACAAAAGCAAAACGTTCAGCAATAGTCGTTGGAAAAGCATTTGTGGGACACCTGCTGTGTTCAGAGCTAGGGGTGCACCCCGTGGGCCGAAAAGTCCCGTCCCCGTGGTGCCCGTGGCCACAGAGAAAGCCTGAGAGACTGTTGACAGTAGGAATCACGAGCCATTAAAATTAGAAATGAAGGCGAGAGGTGTGAGTGTGTGTAGTGGCGGGGGGGGGGGTCCCGTTCGTTCTTTCATACATTTTCTGCTTGGAAATCAGCAAGCAGTCCCTTGCTGCTCCCCTGGTCCAGGCGCTTCTCACGCTGTTACATAATGTTGAATCTCTTAGTAACAACATTCACTCTCTTTTTCGGTATTCTTGTGGTCTTTTGATTATGTCACGGAGGAAGCTTCAGATTCTCTGGAAGGTGACTTTAACAGTCCTCTGCCACGTGTGACCTGCATTCTGAGCGACTAGAAGACAGGGCGAAGATTCGGCCCTTCCAGTGGCGAGAGTGTGTAACTGGGACTCGATGCAGTTTTTACATTGTATTTGCTTTGACCAGTTAGCTTCCTCTGTTGTGTTTTCTCTTTAGAGAAGTGTGAGGTTTCCCTTTTAGGCATATGTATTTTTTTAATTAGGTAAATAACAGTTCAAGCACGCGAAGATCTGGCAAAAATGATGAGGGACGCGGTGTGTCAGTGCGGAGGCCGCGCACCACTGGGCCGGGTCCCCAGAGGCCCCGCACCGCAGCCACTTGCAGATTCAGACCTGCTCCTCTCTCAGTGAGCCGGGGCAGAGCCTCACAGAAAGCGGGTCTTCCTAGCGGAGGACAGACTCGGGCCTGCGTGCACATCAGAGGGGTGTACTGGTCGGGGGGTGTGGGGGCTGCAGGGGCCGGGGAGGGGCAAGGAGCCCTACCAGGGTGGGAGGAGGCGGTCTGGTCGGGAGAGCTTTAAGCCTCGAGCCCCATCACTGGTCAGACCTTGGGGTGGAGGAGGCAGTGGAGGAGGGCAAGTGCAGGGGCACCAAGGGCCAGGCAGAGGTCGACCCCGAGCAGGTTGGGGGTGGGAGGAGGCTGGGCTCCAGCAGCTTGTCCTGCAGAAACTCTGGGTGGAGCTGGCTGTGTGCACGCACGCAGTCCCCAGCCCCACCCCTGTCACCTGGCATCTGCATGCCCAGTCCCTCCCGGAACCCGGCAGCCTGGGCTGGGGTGAGCGGCCTGGCCGTCACCAAGTCACTGACTCTGTGGGGCCCCGATTCCTCATTTGTGAAAATCACATGGAAAGAGGTGGGCAGATGAAGGCTCCACGCCCAGGACTCCCGCCTCGTGCCTCAGACATAGGGCCCCCTTTCCACCCCACCCACCACCCCACTGCCCTGGCAGCGTGTGTAGCTCCGCCCAGATCGCCTCCTGGAAAATGGAGGCGCTGTGCCAAGTCTCACTCGAATGTCTTTCTAGGCCACCACGTTGGAGGTCTGCGCCTCGGTGTGCACGGTGGGCCCTGAGTGTGGCCAGTGGGGAGGCTGGCCAGCGGGCAGATCGGGGGCTGCCTGGAGGTGAGCAGAGGGCCAGGAAGGGCAGGTCTGCGGCTCCAGGCCCAGCTGGACAGGCCCCTGCAGGCCAGACGTGTGAGTCTCCTTCCCCACCTCTCAGGGTGTGGAGGGCGGGAGGCGAGGCCTGAAGTGCAGGCACAGGGTGCTGGGCACAGTGCTGCTCCT